TCCTCAGATAGAAATACATGCTTATAATATCATTCAGATACACGGTGATCAGAATTCAAAATCTTGAAGCACCCCGTATTTTTTCCAATTAAATTCCAGTAGATAGTGAATCGAAAGTTAAGATAGGGACATGTGAGCCATTTTGATCGATAATGAATAGTTTCGACACAAAAAAATCCTAAAATTGAAAAATCTCGATTTTGAACACCCTATATCTCTGTAATCATTTCTGCTAGACCCTAAGTGTGGTGCATTGATGCAATCAGCTTTTTAGGAAGAATATAAAAATGCAATAAAACACAGGGTGTTTCCTTTGAAATAACAAAGTTGCTAGTTGTTTCTGATAAAAGTGGCAACACTGTATCGATGAAAATAATTTAGACTGATAGAGAATGTTCAATTATCAAAGTATCTCAATTTTCAGAATGTTCTGTCATTTCGTTCTCCAGATACTTCTAATAGGCCATCCACCGTGGATCACCCTGTATATATATGAATATACATTTTCATGATATATCTGAGAATATTCTTTTATGATACTTTCATACCCAATCAAGGGATTCAAACTTAAACGATGAAAACTTGTTATTATTTCAGACCTCTACTCTCTAATCGCATATTCGCGTTTGGGTTTTCTCAATTCAGAATTTCCCCTCCACGCCCTGTAGGATATAGGAAACAGTTTTGTATAATCGGCAATTTTGAAAAAACTCTTTCAATCATTCTGAACTAATGAGTGACATACTTAGATAACCTCCTCTAGATATAAAGTTTACTACACAACATTATATTCTGTGTTCGAAAATATATTTCCATGTCGCGTTCAAAGTTACTATCGATTCCAAATGACAGAATAAGGTCTATCATCTTACAATATCCATGATATCGAAGTCATGATTTACGGCGACTTTGGTGGAACCAGGGTGAATATGCCACATTTGCCTCGGATTTTTGTTTTGATTTCGTTTTGTTTCCAGACGAGACATATGAAGAATCGATATCGATATCTAACAATGTTCACTGTTTGAAGTAGTATTTCCTCTGGGATATCATTTTTGAGAGTTTGCTTCCAACAGTTTGTGATATACATGGTGATATCGAGGTGATGGGAAAAATATATCTAAATTACTTTGTACAATATGTAAATATTTTCAGGCTCAGGAAATTCACTGAAATCACTGACCAAGTTACGTAAACGAGTATTTTTTTGTGTCGAATACATATGCAGGGTGAGTCCAAAATAGGTACCGAGCTTTCTGGATATGAAAGTACATCAGAAAATAAATTCAGTATGATGAATGAACTGATGGCCAAAATGTATATCAAAGGAGAAATTTCTATAACTTCTAAACGGTAGAAGCTACCAGAAATTTCTTGCATGAATGTATGAATTGATAAAAAAATTATTAATAAATTTTTCGATAATCTTCAACATTCCTGCTATTGATATAAAGAAGGTTTCCAGGGGGTGTGTCATGATTTTTTTAGGACAAATTCTTTGATGGAATAACAGGAGCATCTCACAGTGCGAGAGAAACTACAAAAAAATGGTGCTCGTATCAAAGTACAAAAATTATTCGAATTTCAGCATAGTGACATGATATCAGCAGATGAACTCATCATCAGTGATAATATTTCAGGAGGCTCCAAACTTCTTGGCCGGACACCATCACCATCAAATCTTGGCATAGCGAATAACCTGCAATTTCTTGAAATTTTGGTTTAAAATTCCAGTATTGATATTACTGAGCAAAAAAACTGAACAAGGATATTACCAATAACAATGTCATGCTATGAATGTAAAAAATTGAGATGATCTCGATCATGACCTCCTTGAATATTGTGAATCAATCTGCTGATATTATCCTGTGACTATACATAAACTCATAGAGAGTTTTCTAATTGACATGGCATTTTTCGAAAACTGCTTCACAAAAAATGATGAACTAAGGTACCGTTGGAAAGATAATTGAACGCCTTCCAAAATGTTGTGCCATTTGATCTCCTTTTTATTTGAGATTCAAATGGTTACATCTACCGCTCCTATAGCGGGTTGAACCAAAAATGCTCAAATCGTTCAACTGTACCCTTTGAAAACGAAATCGACCTTTCATTTCGATTTTTCGTATTATTCACGAGAGGTATAGGAGGTGCCATTCAGAATTCCTTGAGCGGGTGGCCGAAAGTTGGACAATCAATAGTGATGTTCAACTTTCTGATTTGACTTGTTTTTTTCCTAGAAAATTGTTGTCGCTGTGTAGAACGGAATATTCAGACTATCCAGGGTGGTGTGATATAAAATGAAACTCCTTTATGTATTTTGTTTACATGATATGTAGGATGAATTGACATTATAAAGTAGAATTTTTGTTCGATTAAAACGGGTGAGAATGTATATAATTTTCATTTCCTGTTTTCTTCAACGAATTTTTATTTTCTTTGTTTTCTTTGTTTTCATGGTATACGAATAGCTCAAGTTTGTGATAATATACGATGAATGTCAGTGCTTGCCTGTTCATCAATTCATCTATAATGAATTCAGACTAGTTATTCAACAGAGTTACGAAGTAGCAGCAACAGTGCCATCAATTGCGATTTCGAACAGGAACATGGTACACTCGGATTCCGTTTATCAAGTATCACTCACATAAAATTTGCAAGATATGAACTGACATTGGTGACATTGAATCATGCATTTAATTGTGAAACGAGAATGTTATGTGAGAAATAAGGGATGATACATTACGAACGATCCTTGTTTGAAGGCCAAGTGAATTGGGATCGAGGGCTAGAAAAAAGTTTGATTGAGTCTGGTGTATTCTGATACCAACGATGGGATGAAAGCTATTCAATGTAAGACATAATAAACTACCCACAAGTGAGTCATTCGATGATGCCAAGTGAAGCAAACAATTGTAGATATCATAATAAACACCTATAGCCAACTCCAAGTAAGAAGTATACTACCCCTAAGTGAGTCATTCGATGAGGCCAAGTGAAGCAAGTCACTTGTACTTATCGTACTGAACGCCTAGCCAATATTTCCGTTGTATAACTGCAAGTAAAAAGAATACTGAGATGAGATGAGATGAACTCCATCTCTATTCTTCGTTTCAAAACATATTTCTTCACGCAATCTTTGCACAATCCTCGAAAGTGTGCAAGAAGCATTGAAACGCGTCGTGCAGAAATCATCTTGGCATAGCGAATAACTTTGAAATTTCGGTAGAGAATTCCAGTAAGTATTGATATTACTGAGCAAAGAAACTGAACAAGGATATTAACAATAACAATGTCATGCCATGAATGTGAAAAATTTCAATTATCTCGATCATGACCTCCTTGAATATTGTAAATTAAGCTGCTGATATTATCCTGTGACTACATAAACTCATAGGAAGTTTTCTAATTGACATAGCATCTTTAGAAAACTGCTCCATAAAAAATGATGAACTAGGGTACCGTTGGAAACATAATTGAACGCCTTTCAAAATGTTGTGCCATTTGATCTCCTTTCTATTTGAGATTCTAATGGTTACATCTACCGCTCCTAGCGGGTTGAACAAAAAATGCTGAAATCGTTTCAACTGTACCCCTTGAAAACGAAATCGACCTTTCATTTCGATTTTTCGTATTATTCACGAAAGGGGTGCCATTCAGAATTCCTTGAGCGGGTGGCCGAAAGTTGGACAATCAATAGTGATGTTTAACTTCGTGATTTGACTTGTTTTTTTCTTAGAAAATTGTTGTCGCTGTGTAGAACGGAATATTCCGACTATTCAGGGTGGTGTGATATAAAATGAAACTCCTTTATGTATTTTGTTCACATGATATGTAGGATTTTTGTTCGATTAAAACTGGTGAGAATATGTATATAATTTTCATTTCCTTTTTTCTTCAACGAATTTTTATTTTCTTTGTTTTCTTTGTTTTCATGTTATACGAATAACTCAAGTTTGTGATAATATACGATGAATGTCAGTGCTTGCCTGTTTATCAATTCATCCATAATGAATTGACTAGACATTCAACAGAGTTCTGAAGTAGCAACAGTGCCATCAATTGCGATTTCGAACAGGAACATGGTACACTCGGATTCCGTTTATCAAGTATCACTCACATACAATTTGCAAGATATGAACTGACATTGGTGACACTGAATCATGCATTTCATTGTGAAACAAGAATGTGATGTGAGAAATAAGGAATGATACATTACGAACGATCCTTGTTTGAAGGCCAAGTGAATTGGGATCGAGGGCTAGAAAAAAGTTTGATTGAGTCTGGTGTATTCTGATACCAACGATGGGATGAAAGCTATTCAATGTAAGACATAATAAACTACCCATAAGTGAGTCATTCGATGAGGCCAAGTGAAGCAAATAATTGTAGATATCAAAATAAACACCTATAGCCAATAATGTCGTTGTATAACTCCAAGTAAGAAGTATACTACCCCTAAGTGAGTCATTCGATGAGGCCAAGTGAAGCAAGTCACTTGTACTTATCGTACTGAACGCCTAGCCAATATTTTCGTTGTATAACTGCAAGTAAAAAGAATACTGAGGTCAATAAGACAAATATTCTGACTCTAATGAAGAATCTAATATCAGTAAGTTACATGTGTTTCAGAAATAACATTGATACCAACAAGTGATCAGATCCAGAAATATCATTTTTCATGTGGCTTATGAGGCGTATTATTCACTGGAAGAAAGATATTGAGGGTGTAAAGTTCTCAGAATGTCATCATAATATATACTGTGCAGGTGCACCAACCAATTCAAATGCTCGCTTGTTGGTTGGTTGGAAATTTTAAGCGCATCCTCACGTATCTCTTCTCAATTGTTACATATAATCAAGTGGTCAGAAATGAGGGATTTTTATTTTATATTTGACGCTATAGACTCCAGGAAAATGATCAGATCAGATAAGTGGCTCGTCCGAGTATAATCAAATTATGATATTTATTGCAGGGTTCTATGGATTTCAAGTGAACCATGCTATCGTCTTCACCAACAGTGACGGTAGAAGATAGCATAACAAGTTGTACCTCGAATCTCACTTCACTCGAATGCTCTCAATCCTCCAACCTCACCATCATATGCGGGAACCTCTACCAGAGCTCCAACGATGACTACTATTGCTCACTCAACCTCACTGACAAGTGGTACCACTGCACTGGATGCAGCGCAAACTCTTCCGATGACTTTCTAGTGAACTACCTCGGGGGTAGCGTCAGTGACTTCATCATCCGAGTTTCCAATGCCCAGTGCAATATAACGAACACTGGACATGATGTGCTCTCCATGTGCAAAGACGAGTTTAGTGACGACTTTGGTGCGGTGTCTTATGATTGGAGTTTTCTCTTTGTTGTGGTGTTCATCATAGCTGGTGGTTTGGGCAACATTTTGGTGTGCCTCGCGATCTTGTTGGACAGAAGACTGCAGAATGTTACGAATTACTTTCTGTTATCGTTGGCGATAGCTGATTTGTTGGTCAGTTTGTTCGTGATGCCTTTGGGAGCCATACAGGGATTTTTAGGTGAGTCCATCTATCTTCATATAGTACACATCTGTAGTATTGATGGAATATTCAAGGAAAAGAAGCAGCCTATCAAAAAACATTCAGTTCCGAACATAATATAAACATTATGGCCATAAACTTCTTTCTAGATTCATGAATTATTCAGGATGAGAAACACGATAAGGTTTAACAGAATGCTACATAATAGGTGGTGATGAAAATTTCTGTTGGGACAGTCATGTTTTCTTATGTATTCTGGGATCAAATATATATCCATCATCATTGTAATTGTATTTCGTGCAGAATAGTTCATATATTCAATATACAGTGTGTCCATTTAGTGCGTAATTCTTTGATATCTCGGAATCCATTATCACTAGAGAAAAACTTTCAGCAACAGATTCCTTCCGATATCAAAAGTTCCATTTCAAGAATATTTTCAACAATACTGGGTGTTTTATGAGAGCGGGAGGACTCGGAGACGAGTTTTTTCAAATAGAACACCCAGTATTTTTTATTCAAAATTCATTCCGCTAAGGTTCAGCTCTACATCGCTATGGAAAAAATTGGGTATGGTTGCGGCGTTGCCAAGTTATAATTAATAAACCCATTTTTACTACTATTGAAGGGTCATGTTAAATTGGGAATGGTATATACATTTATTAAAATTTTGAGAAGATTTTTGGCATACAGTAGTAGCAAGGTCTCAAGTACACCAAACCAGTCATTTTTCGAGATTATCCTCTACAGGGTGCTGAAATTTACACTCTGAATATTGTAAGATTCAGACGACGTTCACTAGAATTTTCCAAATGGAACACCCTGTATTTTTCATCACATATTCATTTCGACATCATTCGTCTTTTCATCGCTGAAAAAAAAATTGGAATCGGTTGCGGGGTTTTCAAGTTATGAGTAATTTCCTTATTTTTATCACTATCTCAGGGCAACTTATGAGGCATGGTTCCTTTATTTGATTTGATTGTGGGAATATTGCTTGCCACATGACATTCGAGGTTCTACATAGATCATTCAGGTATCTTTGCGATATAAGCATTGTCAAAATTTGAAATATTCCGTAATCTTGTTGCTTATGACTCAAATAATATGTAGTACCTATGTGTAACAAACATGCCAAAAGCAAAACGCCTGATGCCTTTAAAACAACTTCTACAATACAAACAACGGAGATTTGAATTGCGAGAATGAGGACAATTTATTGAAATTTGGACCACTTTTATTGTCGTTATTTCCACAATCCAAATCTCCATCAAACTTGAAGAAGGCAAACTCTACATAATGATGCAAACAATATTTCTTCACTACGCGGGTTTCGGGAGGGAATTCAGCGAAAATTGAATTAGATATTATTAGATTGTGGCGATGTTTGACAGGTCATTACACGAATAATAGGAGTTTACTTCGAAAAATTAATTCGTTGTCTGCAAAAAATCTGTGAAAGTAGCATTTTGGATCAATTTGTCAAATCCACTCTGATTTAAATTCAAAGTTGGTGAGCGTGCAAATGTTTTCATAAGAAATATATGAATAGTCAATGAAGAAATCTGATTATTTGAATGAGAGAACTATGACGTAAAAATTATACTCCCAAATAGTAGTAAAAATAAAGAAATTATCCATAACTTGACAACGCCTCAGCCAATTATGATTTTTTTGCAGCGATGAAAAGATGGAGGATGTCGGAATAAATTTGGAAAAAAAATACAGGATGTTCCATTTGAAAAATTCTAATGAATGCCATCTGAATCTTGCGAAATTCTAAATGCAAAATAGAGCACCCTGTTGAAGAACTTGTCGCAAAATTACTGAATTTGTATACGTGAGACCTTGCTACTACCGTATGTCGAAAATATTTCCATAATTTGAATAAATGAATATACAATGCCCAATTCATCATGACTCTTCAATAGTGGTAAAAATAGATTTATCAATTATAACTTGGCAACGCCGTAACCGATTTCAATTCTTTTCTTACAGGAATGTGAAGGTAAACCTCGGCAAAATAGATTTCGAATTAACAATACTGGTTGTTCCATTTGAAAAAAACTCGTCTCCGAGTCATCCCGCTTTTATAAAACACCCAGTGATGTTGAAAATATTTTTGAAATAAGCAACTTGATTAACTGAAGAAGTTTTTTTCTATTGGTTATGGCTTTGGAGATATCGAAGAATTACGCACTAAATGGACACACTGTATAGTGGTAGAGCACTTTCGGCTATGAAGCCATCATCATTGCTCACTTGTGAGTACAGCTTGACCATTCCAGCTTGGCCTCTGAGAATTGAATGCGCAGTAGACCAGTCGGCGGCCGATATCTCATTATTTTCGAGGAACTGTTTCACTGAACATCGTCAAGCTCAGTACAGTTTGATTGTAATTACCAGTAAGAAAGCGTGGTGGTTATTTGTCGCACATTAACCATCTCTGTTTATCGTTTGCACATCTCAGGGGCCAAGCTAAAGCTAGTATAGTCAAGCTGTGAATAATCAGCTTCTAGCTTTTGAAAAGAACATATTCAAAGAAAAATACAATTGATACATTTTTAATATGAAATATTCGAAAGATAGTCTTATGACGAACTTCTTGTCAACCTCACTTTTACCCATTTGAAATTAGAAATTTATCAACTGCTATTCTCCCTTATGCCTGTTGCAGAAGCTAAAAGCTGATTATCTACTCACCAGTATACACTGATGATGGCTTTATAGCTGAAAGCGCTCTGCTTCGATATATTGAATAAACTATTTCGGACGAAATACAAAGTTTGTACAATTATTTGTTCATACACGTGCACGAATCTTAGCAACCTCCACTTAATTATATATCACACAATTTATTATCTAGAAACTATTCCAGAATTTCAGGAATTTTTCTCTGAAAAAATTAACGATCCATGCGTATTGTGTCAAGAAAGTGAAATTCGAAATTGTTCAGCCCATCCTGTGGTTTCTAGTTCAAGAATGTAGCATGATTAACTTATACTATAAGTAACAGGGTGATGACCCTTGGAGCTTCATGAAGTGGCCTAATTTGAAATGGAATAACAAGTCTACTCTTTTCAAGAACAAGGAAAGTTCAGGAAACTCAGATTTTGAATGTATTTAATTCGAAATGTATTTATGAGGATATCATAGTGAAGTTGCATGTTTTGTTGTTTGGAAGATTCCGAAAACCATTATCTTTGTCAGAATAACAGAATATGTTGCATGGTCGAACTTTCGGTGGTAAGAATTACATGATACACTGAATTCCATAGGCATCGCTGAGACTTTATAGTATCAAGCGATTGAAGACATTAGGATGTTCCAAAAATTTATTGAAATCTAGTGATGTTGATTTCGACCGACTGAAACCCATAACTTGGACGCTAGATAATTGTGATTCACATCAAACTGTCTACATTTTATTAGGTTTCGTAATAAGTTTCATGTCTTGTGCACAATTGTCAATTTCGATAACATTCAGCTGAACTCTTTTCATTTTAAAATCTTCCTGAATTTTTTACCTCCAGCTGAGTATTTGCATAACTCATTTCAACTGGTTGGATCTACAATGCCATGGTGGAACAGCGAAAAATGGGCAGATACACCTCCATCTGTTGAAGGCGAACAGGTTCTAGTGGAGAATCACGAAGTGATGATGCCGTACAGAAAATGAGTTATCAAAATATAATTTCCCAAGTTTCACTGCACCTGATTGTGAAAATTTAAATAGCTGTGTTTATCGAACAAAAATCATTTCAGTGGGTACAATCTCTAATCGTTCGAGTTCTGTTCGTGTACGATTGAAAACGATTGACCTAAATATAAGTACTATATAGAAGTTGAATAGAAGATCTAACGGCGAAATAGCGCAGTGATGGTTGAGGTGCTCGACTACTAATCAGAACATCGAAAGGTTGCTAGATCAAACCCTTGGCAGAGCTGAAAATTTTTAATCATAGAAACATATGAATTCTTATTCTCGTAGCCACGGCCGGAGATCATTCCTCACAATTCGCTGTGAGTCCCGTTCTTCTTAACTCTGCACAAAATCGACTTCTACGGGATTTATTCTCAATTTCAAAGTAGATTTATACAAATTTTTTAAGAAAACTCACAGTGCTGCTCCCAAGATGACATATGGAGTCAGTAACAGAGACTACCCAGAACACACATGAACTGAAGGACCTGTCGTGAGGTTGTAACAGGGTGATTTTATGGTTCTCGCAGATATATAGTAAATCAGACTCAAATCTTGATCTGGGTATAATTCTTTTATAATTAACGGATGGCTAACAACTATCAAAGTCGAGTATCGAACAAACTAAAAGAATGAATCATAATTACTCAACTTGTTCAGGATGATAATTATATTTACAAGGCAAATTCCTGGCAAGATCACTTACCTAACACCAGGCAAACGAATATCTCCTAGATGGTATATCATCCATGATCACTCTCAAAACCACAAGGCTGTTAGCTTTATCTTTTACTGACCGAACGCAGATAGAAGCTTCGAAGGAAATTTTACAAAAAGTCTGAACAGCGCAAAAAACTATACGGCGACACACATTGTTGAATTTGATGTAAAAGTGAATCACGGCGACACCTTTGGTCATTTAATTGAAGGAATAACTTTGACCATGGTAGATTGCTACAAGGTTGATATGATTGATTGACATTTACTACTACTACCCTTAGAAGATCGAATTTGTATACGACTGAGCTCAAGAATATACCCCTAAAATAGGGTGAGTTGATGATGATCCTTCACACATTATTTACGATGAAATTATGATAGATTATGAACCTTATTCACATGTTATAAGGTCAGAGTTGAGTCATTGATGAGAATCGACCCCATCAGGAGAATCAGCAATTATTGTTGAACTGATTTCCATACAGACATGCAAACAATGTCGATAGCAGCTGTGAAGTGGAAGCGCAGTTTAAGAAAATATCCATTCCTCAAACTGTGGTTGAAGGCATCTAACTATTATCGTATGGTTTATGGAATAATTTCAATTTGCCCACGATAGAATCTCATCAGGTTCGAAACACGTTTTCACTTTCTGAATCGTATTATATTGAATGTAGTTGGGACGACTTAGAGTATTTTCGCTATGTGAACTATAGGAACTATTCTCCTCCTGTGGTTGATGGAATGTTCACCTCTAGCCAAGAATCTTCGAGAACTATTTTGCACTTCATTGTGGCTGATGCCCTTCTATAATACACTAGATTTCCATTTGCTCGGAACATTTGGATCAGCAGTGGCGTATACGATTAGGATTTTTTTCCTGGAATAGGTTCGAAACTATGGGGAATCAAAGATTCTCGTAGAAGGAGTATGAATGAGTTCCGAAGTTTCAATTTCCATGTTTTCAGTTATGACTATGCAAATGCTACATATCTTCCGGATGCTTATAGCTCACCTCGACTCCTCTGCCTATTGTTATTTGAACTCCTCCACTTATACGATTTCAACTGTTTCCACAAAAGCGTTGAAGATCCATGAATTGGGTGAAAATGAAGCGTGAATGAGTAGATTACAGATTGAGCATAAATATAGATATTAATTTGCAGAGGTAAAATAACATGAAATTCTCCATAATTATTGATTATTACGAATAACAGTATTATCCATCCATAAAACGGGATTGAAGATTTGAATAAAACTATTTTAGCTTCGTTCCTCTGTTCTTTACCTTATGTGTTATATATCCTCTTTCAGCGGTCTAGTGTTGTGTGTCTTATGAATGAAATGCCATGATGGACCCACTGGTGAGAAGAAACCTTGTGATCCCATGTTTTTCCTGGTGTTCTCTTCTATTTAAGTTTACAATTTTGCTGGTATGATTTAGTATCAATGAGAAATAGAGATGAGTGACTGGGTGTACGGACCATCTCCGAATATCAAAGAAGGAGAGATTTGTATTTCGTGAAAATCTTTCCTTCTTTGGTATATATTCACGTGCACTCAGCCCAACATCCCTCACCCATGTCCGAATGACACGAAAAAAAAAGTTTTATCCATTGCTTTATATAGGCCGGTGAGATATTGCTAACTCATATAATGACAAATAAATGAAAAAATATGAAAAAAATCACATATTGAAGGCATATTCATTCACAACATAGCTCCATCCACAATACTCACCAGCTTCAGACAGCTTGTATGTTGACGTCAACATGATAATTGTTCGTAGGCATATGAGAAATTACGTGTATATTGAACTTTTTACTTCCATGTAGTACAAATGAAAGCATATCCAGCAACCAAACTAGTGAAGCATATACCAAGATTCATAATATTCGAAATATTCGAACGATAACTTGGAATCACATACAAATATCGACAGCTGCATGATGTCGAAGATACCTAATAAAGAGAACTGCATTATTGTTCTATTGAATTATCTGAGATTATGTCTCACCCTTTGAAAGTTTACAAGAGATTAGCGTAGTATATGTTTGTCTTAAACTTTGTTGTTGAGGTCTGTCACTTCTGCCAGTGTGAAGACAAATAAATCACAAAAATCACGAACTTGTGCGACGTTCAAGTTTTCCTTGCTGACCGGTAGGTATTCAGCAACGCTCGAGCATCACCTTTACCATGATTGTTTAAAAGATTGCCATTTCCTGGCTGTAACATCATAAATCAAGTCTCGTTCTCGTGAGATCAAAAGTCTTTTCGAGAGAGAATTATTATCTCTGCCAAAAAGTGGGCAAGATCTCGCGAGTTTGGCGAGATTGCACTCGATCATAAAAACGTCTCATTCGAAGTCGTGTGATGTGAACTGAACAAGCCTTTCATTTGATTGGAATATATTTCGAGGAATATTTCGTTAATTCATCCCTTTTTTTCAATATATCACTGAGGAGGTAGAGTTTTTTATTTGATTAATGACAATGTCTCAGTTTGATAAACTATCAAACTTAGTTGATGATTTTTATTTCAGTTCTTGACTTCTTGAAAATTGAATATCCTTAGAGAAATCATCAACATGAAAAATCGATATATATATGGACAAATACATTGAGAATCCGCATTCTCTATGTGATGAAAATATCTCGGAAAATATCGATTTTTTCTCGATTCATCCACCAGAAAACAACTACTTTCCTGGCTATATCCCCCGATGAACATTGAATTATATGTATTGCATGAACACACACGATGAGAATTTGGAAACAAAATCTTCCGAAGTTGAGAATTTGCATTCTTCATCAGATATAAAAATCTATGCACATAGGTAATATCATTCTGAATATTCAACAAAAAGCAACTTCTTTCCAAGCTTTTTGTCAGATCGGACATTGAATTATCATTAATTCCAGAAGAAACGTTATTCATAGAAAGTTCTATAATGCCCCAAATCAAAAAACCGATTATCAGATATCAACTTTCTTCAGTCGTTCGAGGTATGTTGAAATACATCATCAATTTTGCTCACTAGTGAAGTACCTTTATTCTCAACAATATCAAAAATCATCATCCAGAAAAGTTGTTCTGAAATCAGAAACTACGTTCAAATATCTAATTACATCTATTTATACAAATTATACCCCCCCTAATCGACTGACAACAATCAATATCAGATATTCGCATTTTTGGTTTTAGATCTTGCAGTATATCACAGTAATCTGTCATATTTCGACACATTATTCCCAAATATTCGAGTATGGGTGTCACCCTGTACAAATTAATATTATTTATGACTGAATGTTAGCGTGTGTGATAGATATATTCATTCGAACTTCTTCCTGAAAGAAATCATCCTTCTGAAACTTTACCCTTGAGCAAAATCGATGTTTTTTGACAAACACCGTGTAAACGACTGAAGAAAGTCGATATTGAGAGAGAAGTATTAGGCGTTTTCGGAAACTCGGGTTGTTCGGATCCTTAACCTGAACGTTCGGTTACCCAAACCGAGTTACTGACCTCTGTTCGGAAACTTGAATGATGCTAACTCGAACACTTACTCTGGTTAATTTTTCGTGACCCTACTCAGAAGCAGGGCGCCAGAGTTGCAAAGGACACCGCATGCGCATTACGGAATTCAGGTCAATCAAAAAACGCGGGAGTTTACATTCGACGATAACAATAATAATAAAATTATTTTGCATGTTAGAGAGAATCACGGCCGGTGATATACATATGTTCTTTCCAATCTTCATAATTTGATCAAAGTAATTCATTGAGAAGAGAATTGGGAAAGGGGAGAAGTTTGTGGTTATGTGCCACAACACATGGGTTGCGTGCAAGAACTGTCAGATGAACGACCCTGGAGGCGCAACAGTGAAACACAACCTCACCTTTCTTATTTGTTTACGAGTGATTGAAATAGTTTTTCACAATTATTTTGGCATAGGAATCGTATTTTTTGGCTATTCATCAGTTCGCTCATTGTGCTGTTGTACAATGCACGAAAACTGCAGCAGAAGACTGAGGAATCCTGTTGGTATATTATGTTTTAAAAGTAAGTACCTACTATAGTCACTCACATATAGTTTTCATTTTTGAAATTTGGTTATTTCTCTGATTTCTCATCAGAATTCCTTCTGCAATAGAAGCTGATAGAAATAGATATGAAATTTCTAAAATAATGCAAGAAGATTGGATTCATGCAATCAAACGGGAGGACTGGTCTGACATGCTGACGAAATATGATCGTGTGTGTTGTAGACATTTTCAATCTATTTAGCTTGTATTGCAGAAGTAGCAATAGGAATTTTAGAAATGAATGAGAAACATTCCACAAAGATAACTATGTGGGATTACTATTTACCTGAAAAATCACATTCTTTCGTCTCTCGCTCCATTTTTTTGTGCATCGTACAACAGCACAATGAAATGGCATGCTTGGATTAATGGATAGCGCAAAAAACACGATTCGAGTTTGCCATAATATTGTGAAAAACTATTTCAATCCTTCGATTCATCTATAACCAAATGAAAAAGTGAGGTTGTGTTTCAATAATTCACAGAAGACTGAGGTTCTGTTCCAATATTTTGCCTCCAGGGTCGGTCATCGTGCACGCGACCTATATGAGACAAGAACACCAATCCACCAATTTAAATATAAATATAATCAGATCAAATAATTACTTGAATATAATGTGACCATTTTCGTCTGTCAAATTCAGGAAACCACAGGAAGAATATAATATTCAGTGTTCCTAACCTGACACGTTCGTTAACGTTGAAGACGAGTAGATGATCCGAGTTTTTTGTCACGTGACCTATCTGGATCGAGATATCAACCCAGAGTGAGTTTCCGAAAACGCCTATTGATGTACATCTGAGCGTACGGATACCTTAGCCTAGAGCCTCCGCTACTGGAGGATCCAGGTGCTATTATATTTTCAATTAAAGTGATTTGCGGTGGATGTTCGGGCTTTTCTATGGATGCTATTCGTATATCAGCGTTCGCTGCCGTTTCGCTGGGATTTCCTCAATAAAACCCAACATAGGAAATATCAATCAATCAGTTCTGCGTGGTCGTTTGTGTGTGTAGCGATATGGAGATTTATGTAGGGGATTGAAATAGGAATTCGATGTTTTGATTAAATCGAGAGGTACGGAGTGGTCATTATTTCATTGCTATTCTGTCGTGATTGGTTAACACATTTTGGAAGGGAGCTGTATTGTGAAAGATACCAATTGACGATTTATCGATAAACAATGAGAACACAAGATCGTTGTGTAGTAGATCTTGCACTCTGAATACCTTCAAGAAGATATTGAAGAATCATCATCGATCATCAATGATGTCTTCTGAAAAGGAACTAACACACTTAGATACATAACTATAATGATTCAAATTACTGGTTTCAACACAAAATTGCATCAAGTCCAAATTTCCTAGTACATGGATTAGTTTCACTTCTTTTAAAGATTCGATGTTGAAAGGAGTGTTGTTTATAAAGTGGCTGAAGTCAATGGTTATGATATCAAAAAAGTAAATAAATTGATAGGTTGACATGAATTCAAGTAAACACTTCGGAAATCTTTGACTTTTTAATTGGATAAAAACAATTCAAGAATAATCCCAATTTCATTATACGAAGGGACTTGATAAGGTTTTCAAAGACTAAGGTTTGAAATCCAGTCAGTTTCAAGAGTAGCCAATCCAATAGGCTACTCAAAAAATAAAGTGGAGAAGTCAGGAATATACTATATCACATCACAATGCCTGCAACATTGTTTTTTTTTTCAATGGATCAACCTGTATATTTCAACATATACAAGTTCAATACATCAAAACATATGCAATCTTTATATCGAATGTCATTTTCAAGACTTTATCTGTCAATTGATGATATATCAATCTGTTCACTGCTTGTGAACCTATAAATTAGATTTAATATTTCAACTCATTCTCGGAAGTTAACTAAAATTCGAGAAAGTTGGGATGGAAGATGACAGCGAAACACAATTAATTAACAAGATTCATTAATGTTGTTTTCCACAGCTTACTCAGTTGACAATTCATTCGAACTGCTAAGAAATTCATAAACTATAGTTGTTGATTTATACAATTTTGTTACTGCACCGAAATGAGGAAATAATATGTCATCTCTTTCCTTAATCTATCTTCCAGAGAGACATGTAGGTGGCCCATTATGTGAATAAATTGATTCAGATTCAGAAATTAATTTTTCAGAAAAAATCAGTTTTATCAGTGACGTCGGAATAGGTTGATTTCATTTTTGTTGACATGTTATAAAATATGTCTGTTCATGAATAACTTCCTCACGGGAAAATGTAAGTATCACTTTACCGGATATTTCTATACACTGTTGATGGCTTTTGTTGTGCTAGTTCCAAGAAATAAACTAATAACTCCGTCTCTGAGAAAAAACTGCAAGTCCGTTTCAGTCAATTCACAGAAAAAATACCCTATCTAGCAACTATAGACCGATCGCACTGCTATCTATTATTTCAAAGATCATGGAGATTGCTATCAACATCCAGTTTATGAAATACCTGGAACATTCTGGTATTATCAACGATAGGCGATATGGCTTTCGTCATCAGAGATCAACTGGTGACCTGCTCGTTCACGTCTCACATATATGGCAGCAATCTATTGAAAAATATGGTGAAACATTATTCGTGGCACTTGATATGTCCAAGGCATTCGATCGAGTTTGGCACCACGGGTTCTCCGTCAAGCTTCCATCTCATTGCTTGCCTTTCCAGCTATGTTCTCTGCTAGCTAGTTTTCTCTCAAACAGGTCTCCTCATGTAGTGGTTGACGGAGTTTCATCTGACTCTTTTATTATGAATGGTGTTCCGCAAGGATCAATTTTAGCACAAACACTATTTTTACTCCATATCAGCGATTTGTTGGAAGCTACTTCATGTCCAGTACACAGCTTCGCGGATGATAGTACTCTCCATACCGCCTTCTCTCCCAGGGCTCCAATTCCAGCCAGGCAATCAGAAACGAACGAGGGAGAAATGTTGCCAACATAATTGGCAACAATTCTCGAATGCGGATCCAATAACTTGGCAGATTTCAATGCAGAACAGAACACAAAAACCTAGAAAAATGAACATTACCCCTTCTTGATGGACCTACAGACACTGTTTCATGATTTTACCAAATATTATATACATATGTTTTCATTTATATTGTACATGTTTGCATGTATATTATACATGTTTTCATTCATTTTATACATGTTTTCATGTTTTTCATGTTATCATAGTGTGACCAAGTTTTCATAAAAAACTTTCCGTTTACTAACTGTTAAAGTTTATTTCGAACCATCAATACTCTAACAGGAATCTGTATTTCAATTTCATTCAAAATGATGATGACCTTTTGGGACAAGAAAATGAGGATCGTCTGAAATCATATCCACTTATTGCATTCAGACACTATCAATTTGTAAGGAGCTCAGAATTTTCTGAACCAAGATCAAAGTTGTTCCTCTTTACGGAAAAAAGGATTCGTTGTATACACAAATCAATTTTGCTTGAATTATTTTTGTTGAAACGAGCATTTTTTGTTGAATCAAAGAGATAAAATAATAATTTCAAAGTAGCATTTTGTTAAAATGAAGAATGTAGTTTATTTGAATCAATAGTATCTTCTTTTTTTGATATATGATAAATTGACATTCATCATACAAGACATGGGAAGATATTCGGAATTGAGAAAACCTTATCACGAATCTGCGATTGAGGTCTATAAAAATAACAAGTTCCCATCGTCCAAGTTACGCCAGTCAAAAATCGACAATGAATAAACAAAACATGATGTATCTCTGATTTTCTGGCATGTTGTTTGGATCCATTAGGGTAGTGTATACCCAAGTTTGCAACTCTCAGAAAGTTGTGGAAATAGTGAAGCACACGAAAAACTGCGAAATTTCGGACTTTCTCTAGTTTTTGCTCTTTATCTCTTAAACTTTGAATTTTTCGACAAAAAATGTCACATACGTTTTTGAAGTACATCAAATGTTCAACAATTTGAATCCATGCGGAGCTCTGTAGACTGTGTCTGTAGGTTGATTATTAACGAAACTACGGTACTTTGAATATATAAAATTTTTTTCAGAAAGTGAAAATTCCAGTTCTGGACCTACTTTAGACCAAAATCGCGGCTAAACCATTGATACTACGAGTAGAACTTATAGATTGAAAGTTGTAGGCCATTTTGTCAGCTTCAAATTAAGTCCACAGCAATGTCTTCAGGCCTCGTAGTTCTCTCAAAATATCGAAAAAAACAATATCAGATAGAATCGCATTCGCATATCTCCAGAAATGTTTCAAAACCTTTCCTATCTTTTGTTTTTTGGTGTGGTATTGAAAAAATGATTAAATGTATTTCAATATGAACATGGGTAGTCATTCAATCAAACATAGTCAAAATCGTCGCCTTGTATTTGATGGCCCTGGGCCGTCACTTTCGATGGACTCTTCGACGGGTACGTCCCCCACTATAGGTGGATAGTCGTCGTCGTCGTCGTCCTCCTCCAAAGGTGAGTACGCCATCATTGGTGGAGCGTCATGATTGTCTTGAGGCTCGTTAGGGTTCTCTTGAGTCTCGTCATCGTCATCCTCTCCGATGATTATAAGGGCTGCGTTCTGGCACGTTCCCCCAGAGCAGGTAGCACACATCACAGAACATTCGAGTCCCGCTTTTAGGCAAGTGCAGTCACCTCTACATCCCTTCTTGCATTTGCAAGAAAGAAGTTTCAGGAGCTCTGGTGGGGTAGGGGCTTTCCGACTGGTAATGGGGATGAGTCCAGCCGAACTCAATTCCAAACCCCAGTCGGCGGCATCTTTTCCCATCCCTATAGCCACTTTTGCACCTGGTGGTATGTGCGATAGTGATGATACGACGCAGCCTCTGTGGTTGGTAGCAAACGCGCCAGATTCGCTTTGGCGTTGGCCGCTGTATTCATGAAAGTACGGAAGCGTACATCGTTGAGGGTGTCTGTCGTCTCGTCTCCTCCATATAGGGCAACTAGGCACTTGTCGCCAGCTGTTGCGACTTCTCGGTGTGTGGCTGGAGGAAAAAATTTTCTTGGTCTACTAAGGCTTGATGACGAACAGCTCAAATCCAGGTAGTACTCCCACTTCCCCTAGGTTGAGCGAGCTGCTGGAAAACTGGATGCAACCCGCCTCACCTCTGCTACTCTTCTGGAAGAAGACGTTCGATTTAGTGGATCCTAGACCGAAGAGGAGCACGAGTAGATCAACATCCTCTCCAACGCTGATGACGTGGTCATTGGATGTACTTTTTTGCAGAGCAGTCACAACCATATCGCGGTCTGCGTCTTCTTCTGCTATTTTTGTCCCAATCCCCTCGAGAGCAGAAGCAGAAAAAAGATGGTCAATGAGACGAACCTTTTTTTTGTCATTCGAGAGCATCTTTTCTTGAGGGACTGTGATGATGGTTGATGCGTCGAATACAATTACCACTGATGCTGCAGAATACCGTCGTGATCGCTCTGCAAATCCTGTGCTCTTTCGGGCGCCATCATACATTGACTATGAAATTGGTACCTACCTACTTGGAGTTCTGCTTTGACCCAAATCTTTGAAATTGGTGAATGTTCAACACTCACTATATGAAACAAAACAGTGGTTTGGTAGATATCTGAAAAAATGCGATATTATCTTATATAGGGTTTTCCGAGATTTTGAGAGAACGACAAGGCCTACTGATCCCAATGTTAATGAAATTTTCTACAACTTTTATTACATGAGTTTTACCTGTAGGATCCGAAATCTTCGGAGTAGATAATCTACAACAGGAAGATTTGGTCGGATTAGAGTGGACGGACATCCTGACCTCCATCAGAAGGACGGGAAGGTTCGAAAAGGACAACTAAAAGAGGGATGTGTAGATATGTGGAGAGCAGGGGTTGGCAAAAAGGGCCCATGGGAGCCTACATGCCTGGCTACAGCCTCCCCACAATACTTCTACTACTACTACCTGTAGCATCAATAGTTTAGCCGCAATTTCGGTCTAAAGTAGGTCCAGAACTGAAACTTTCACTTTCTGAAAAAAATGGGCTATATTCAAAGTACCCTAGTTCCGTTGATAATCAACCTACAGAACTCTGCTTGAATTCAAATTGTTGAACAGTCGATTTCCTTCAGAAAAATATATCACATTGTTTTTAGAAAAATGCATAGTTCAGGAGACATAGAGCAAAAACTGAAAAAAATCCGATAATGTCGCAGTTTTTCGTGTGCTACACTTTTTCCACAACTTTTTGAGAGTTGCAAACTTGGGTATACACTACTCTAATGAGTCCAAACAACATACTAAAAAATCAGAGATACATCATCCACAACTTTTTGAGAGTTGCAAACTTGGGTATACACTACTCTAATGAGTCCAAACAACATACTAAAAAATCAGAGATACATCATGTTTTACGAATTTAGCGATTTTTTGTGTCGATTTTTATTATTCCATATCTTTCGAAACAAATGAGTTAAGAGCGGGTTCTAGAGAGGCCCACCCTGTACCTAATGAGATAATTTGGGGTTTCACCTCCCATCTTGTTAAATGACGGCTTTTGTCTGTTATGACTGCATCAAGGTCCTGCTGCATCGCAGAGATAACCCCCGAACAAGAAATCTTTTGTCTCCTAACTTGGTGTCTTGTATATAATCAACAGAGACAACAGAGACAAAACGTATCTTCCGGCATATATGCTCGTATTGTTTGGGATTTAGGCAACAAAAGCAGGGACTTAATATGTCTCGGATGGTAAACTAATGTACAAACTTACAAGATTATGTAAAACTGTAAACAGTGAATTTATCACGCACTCATATCCATAAATAGCATTGCCGTCGTTCTAGCATGAATGGAACAAATTGTTCTAACAACCCATTCAATAGTACAGGGTCTCTCAAAAACCACTCGACTCTCCATATTTTGAATTGAGTTCATCAATGGCGATCGATCAGAATAAACGTTGATCGAAGAGGAGAAAATGATAATCATTGATGCAGAGTGATCTGGATAACAGAAGTTGCCAATATACTCATTTAGATGATTCAATCATGGCATAGTCCTGAATATGTCTTCTGATGCCATTGTCTGGATTCTTTCCGACGAAATACGATGAGAAGTTATACGAACATTCGTCATTACTGTATGTTCACTATGCTGTTATGGCCATGAGTATATTGGCAACTTCTGTAATTCAGATCAATCTGTATCATTGATCATCATTTTCTTTCCTTCGATCAACGTTTCTCCATCAATAAATCAGCTTTGTTATATAGACGATGGCATTCGGATTTTCTGAGAATCAGTTTATTGTCGACCACCCTGTAGAGAACCTACTACATCCTTTCTCTAACCTTGAAACATATCTATCTTTGATGCATTTTGGTAGGGTGAATGCACATTACGAGATTTTCATATTCTTCATTAAGCTTCGAAGACTCAAAAATATACAAAATTCATGATGTTTCACCCTCTAGCACCGAATTTGGTCATACGATCGAGTTGGGCCAATGGAGTATTTCACTTAGAATGACTACAGCTACAACATATAAAAAATCCAGCCATTTTTAAAGAGAGACATTTTCCCATATAATGTGTGCGTGGTCCTTTGCGACTGTGTTCACAATGTTCTCAAGTTTTGGGCAGAATAGGTGGAAACCTCTGCCCTTCCCATGTAATGAAATGAATAATAGATCATAGCCTGACTGAGACACAGGTCAATTCATCCCCCAATACGAACTATATGCTCTGTTCTGGGTACCAACTTCACTTACGCTCCAGGTTGAAGAGTAGTTCGAACCCTATATCCAGAAACAGACCAAATATCTTTTTTCTCTCTACTGCTCATCAAATGACCCATCTTATAAATATTTCTTGTTCTGAAGCCCGACCCAATTCAGCAGAACCATCAAGCAGCAGAAATCATTATCATCGTCGTGCAACAAGAAATATTCTAGAGCTGTTGCCTTGTAATGAACAGCCTACGATCGTTGGCGCCAGGACCTTCACCTCGAGAATGGAGCAGAATATGTTTAAGCTAGGAATAACTGCATCCTAACAAAATATGCATCAAAACAATCATATAATCCTTTTCCAATCTGACATTGAGTTTGTCCTCTGGTATAGTGTGCTCACTGCTCCAATCATAATTATATTCTACTCGATGTATCTGCATCTTTCATGATCTGCTTGTCTTGACATTTGGAATTTCCCGACGTCTGTCATGCCAATCAGGTTAATTTTTATGTTATCTCGGACTTTCGACTCTTATCCTCCGAGTTTTGACTCGGAATTTCGACGTTTATGTAAAAATTTCGACTTCCATCCCGAATTTCGACTTTAACCTCGAAATTTCGTCCATTATATCGGAATTTGACTCTTATCCTCCAAGTTTTATCTCGAAATCTCGATGTTCATGTAGAAATTTCTACTTCCATCCTGAATTTCGACGTTTACTTCGAAATTTCGACTATTATCGGAAACATGAAGTGTTATTCGATCTCCGAAATTAAATACGATTGACTTTGAATGAAACAAAAATCCCATTCCTACTCTGGCAACCAATGAACTGAGCAAAACTTTCCACCCCTGATCCTTAGGCATTATTGTCCAGATCCACCCGTTTATTAATACGTATATTCGACCACATGGTTTCATATGAAAAAAAAAACAATAACAAAGAATTATCACAACTGGAGCAGATATTCCTTGTTATTATGGACTGAAATGATGAAGGATATGGACGGATTAAGCGAGCAGGATGATGATGTAGAGTACTAATATCGGACAGTGCCGGTCTGGATGAATTTGGCCTCTTGGTCCCATGTACAATTTGACTTCAAACCTCTTCTTTCGTGCTTTGAAATATTTTTCATCATCCAAAAGTTATAGCATATGAAATTCGTCATGTGAAGACATTACCACCATGTGGGTCTCTGCATTTATACAGGATAATCCAGATTTGAATGCACATACGATAACTGTAGATAGATTACACTTTGATGGTTCCAAATCACCCTCCATTGATATGTCTACAATCTTTAATGAGTGAGATACAGAACGTCATCCTGATTATGACGAAATGTTTATCTGGTTGTAATTTTTGAACCACTTTGTATACACTATTGTGTTTACGCAACCCATCAAATATGCTACAATCTTCCAGGCGGAGGTATTCGCAATTGCATTGTGTGCTAGAGAGTTGTCGAATAAACCTCTAGTAAACAAAAATATCAGTATCGTATCAGACAGTCAGGCTGCTCTTAAAGCACTGAGCTCCAGCAAGATAAATTCCAAGCTTGTATGGAACTGCATTGAATCCCTAGAAAGCCTGGGTGCTAACAACAGAGTCACTTTGCTGTGGGTGCCTGGACACCAGGGGGTGGAGGGTAACGAGAAAGCCGACATCCTCGCCAAACAGGGAACCGAATCTGTGTTCATAGGACCAGAACCATATTTTGGGGTCACCGCAAGTGCGGCGAAAACAACTATCTCGGGCTGGGCGGAGGGAAAAACACTCACGTACTGGTCCGAATTACCAGGATTAACCCATTCGAAGGCGTTCCTGCCTAAACCATCGGAAAAAATAACCAGGCAGATCCTAGAATGGAGCAGGGGTAACCTGCGAATTCTGACTGGACTGCTTACGGGACACTGTCGTCTAAGATACCACCTGGGAAGGATGGGTCTGAACCAACAAACGGACTGTCGGTTCTGTTGTGTGGAAGACGAAACGGCTGAACACATATTATGTTCATGCTCTAGCTTAGAAAGACTAAGGTTCGACACATTTGGCTTTACCAACCTAGAACCTATCGATTTCAGACAAATCTCACCCAATTCAACCATGAACTTTGTAAAAAGATGTGGATTGTACGGTGAACTGTAACCTCTAGGGGTGAGCCACAATAGACCCATCTGGGGTCGCAGTGGAGGGGAGGTGTTCGCCCCACTCACATGGAACCTAACCTAACCTAACCTAACCTAACCTACGCAACCCATTATACACCGGGATAACAAGTGGGTTGTGCAGATAAACTCACCTGTAAGTACTCACCTTTGTGCGGCAGTACTTATATTGTATTATAGTAGCTGTATTTACACTCAATTTTGCACCCTAGCTCTCTGGTGATCTCAGCCGTAGACCTGTACAACCACGGACCTGCTCAGGTATGTTACATAATATTAATTATTCCCTGGTCTTGGGCTGATGACTGTGTTATATATTTTCCAGTAGGTGAGTCGTGTATTTATTTTGGGGTCGTTATCTTGCTGATGTAACTTTTGAGTTGGAAATGAAATTGAAAAAACGTGTTGTTGGCTGGGATCCAGCCGAATTTCACTTAGCACAAACTCCTGAGAGTCTCATTTTGCCACACTATTCATACTCGGTAGGTTCATTGCACTCATCTCAACTCAACATCAACAACTCAACAGTGAGATAATATCGAATTAACATCAGTTAATCATTAATGCGACATTAGATCTCGATCACCAAAGTAGCATTTCGCGCTCTAGATACGAAAATAACTATTTTACTGACATAACCTTAAAAATGATTGAACATTACACATCAATCCAGCGTTAACTCAAGTTTGGAATTCACTCTACCTGACTGAGTGAACTGGTAATTCAATGAGTGAATATAAGGAATCAGAATTGAGTCAATGTTTGCAGTTCAGATTTGAATACTAATTCAGCTTCGCGATTACTTGAGTGAGTTTCAACTCGCTTTTGAGTGACAATGACATTTATTGAGTGTGTATATGCCCACTACTGAGTGCTTTAATATCAAAAAGGAGTACTTTTGAACTTTTTTTTGACTGATGGTTTTATATTATTTTGAGTGAATATGATATATAGTACAAAAGTCTATGAACAATCAAGGTAGATTACAATATAATCACAAGCACGAAGTACTTCGAATAAAGAACAACACAATTTGTAATTATCAGTACATGCGGTCTCGTCTTCCGAAATCAAGTATGGCTTCTTCTCGCCGCAAACTCTTACTAGCAAGCTCGTTGACAGTCACATCAGACAGACAAAAAATGCATATGAACAGCTGAGTCAAGAATGTATTCATGAGAGAAGATTTCTTCGTGGGTATATAGCAACTAAATAGAGATAAACTCTCAAATAACGTTTCCAACAAATATTTTATAGATTTCATGAATGATCACATTAACTGATTCATCGAATCAGTTTCTCAATTAAGATTCAATCTACCTAATTTGGAAATAATGTGATGAATGAAGATTCCATTTACTCATTTTTGATCTGAAATATTTTAATTTTTCAGTCGCCATCTTCCGGGCATCTTGAGTGAAAAGCAAACACACAAACATGACTGTGTTACAGAAATCAACGGCGATATGGAGCATTCAACAATCGGATATAAACAAATGAATCACACCATACAAATGAATATTTGAATTATTTGATACAATTCACGATCATCAGCAATTTTGTTGAAAGCCATCATCTATCATACTAAATCATAGATTTAAAATTCACCTGCAGTAAGTACTTCAATACCAT